TTATAGTCTCTGTAATAAGTTGAGAAAAAAAGGTCTGACTGTCACTACACTCTGTCATCAAGATTATAAACCTACAGAAATCGGTGATACCTGTCAAGTTAGAGAAGTAATTTACAATCGAAAAAAAAAATAACAACTCATGTGTGTATTTATTTTTAGATCAATTCAAAGAAAACCTAGTTCGTATGCTCTATAATTTGTTATCTTTTAAATGAATTTTAGGTTTTCGAAACTTTGTTTATTGGGTTATGTTGAGAATCGTTATATTTATGTGACGATATCACTTATCGCTAGGGAGAATCTTTGATGTTTCAGCGCAAGATCCTTAACAGACATGATCAAGATCCTGCAGGGATTCGCTGTTTTTTCCTGAGGAAACGAGAAATCCTGAAAGAAGTGTGCGGGAATTGTTTTTAAGGATCCTGCCAAGATTAAATATAAGATTTTCGAGGATCTTGATAACTTTACCATTGTTTTTTAATAAGAATTAAGTCAGGAAACGCCCAAATCTTGAAAGAAGTGTGCAGTCACGGAGTTTTAGGACCCTTCCAGGATTTTTGCATTTGTTACTAAAACATTTTTCAAGATCCATTCAGGATAATACCTCATGCTGTCAAACTTCATGTCTAACTATCGAGAAGGACCTTGTCAGAAATTTGCTCAAAGTCAAGGATTAACATTTTATTAGTTTATATTTATACAATTTGAACTCACCGAAATCGTGGCAGGATTGCGTCGGCATCGTAGCAGGTTTCTCTAAACAGAATAAATTAAATGTGAACACATAGAGTATTGATCTCTAGACCTTCAGTTGATGAACTGAACAGCTAACCCAGCTGGACTGTGTTCTCATTTAGAAGTGATGTAATAAGTCACTTTTATGTTTCCTTTCTTTCTTATTCTTCATTTTTTCGCTATTTTCCCAATTTTAAATTTAATTATTTTAATTATTATTTATTTATTAATAAATTAATTCTAAATGTATCAAACTTGTTTTTACATTATTTTTTCAATTCATAAGTTTGATAAATTACTTTTTTTAAATTAATTAGTAAATCCAAATTATGCTTAATTTCTATTTTACCACTTATTTTCTTCATATACACAATTAAAATTTTCATAAATTAATTATTTATTTATTCTATCATTCACCGAACTCAGAACAATATAAACTAAGTTTTATTACCTCGTTATCATACATAATTAATATTGAGAGTTTGTTTGAATACATAAGTTTAAAAAATCTGAAGTGAGATTGAGAAAAAATTCAATAAAAAGACGGGAATATTGTTCCACAAATTCTTAACAGGATCCTCAATACAACTGGTTAAAAATCTTGCTAAGCTCTTGAAAAGTAAAATATGAATACATTTGATATAGAAATCTGAAAAAATCCTATCTACATCTTTGTATTTTCTCATCAAGATCCTGATCATACTCATTTTATATCTTCAAATTTTTGAAAGGTTTGTTCTTAACAAGTTCTCAGCAGAATCTTGACCAAAGCTTGGCAAGATTTTCTTCTTTATGATTTTGAGTTACCTTATTTTAATTTTGAAAAGATCCTAGATTGATATAACTTTAATTCGTGACAGAATTTACGTAAGAGGTTCTGAAGCATATCTTGGCCAAAATTTACTGAGATTTTGATTAAATCCTTGCAAGATCTCGGGATATTCGTTCAGGAGAAACGCTAAGCAAGAACCATGGCACATCTTAGAACCAATCTCGACAGGATCCTTCAAGTATAAAATTTATAGGGAACTTTCTATGCTTTTTTCAAGAAATGGACACCATGAATAGAAAAAATAGCAGCCTTTAAAGATCTCAGCCTGATTCTCTTATTTTCTTTTAACAATCTTGATTAGGATTGGTAATTTCTTGTAAGTCTGGAAACATTTATTCTTAAAAGATTCCGAAGAAGTTTCTAATAGGAATCATCCAGGATAAATAACTTTTGTTTTATGAATGATCCTTTTATTTTTCTACTAAGATCATAGTCTGACATATCAAGGATCTTGGCAAGAGACTAATAGGATTATTTAGTCCACATCTTGGTGGAAACCTTATAGAATCTTTTTCAAAATATTTCTTTACAATCTTTTCAGGATCCTTCACAAGATCTAGACGAAATTCTCTCAGGATTCTTCGTTATCAGTTCAGAAAAATATCAGAGAAGGATCTCGAATTTTTTTTGAAGAGGATCATGTAATTTTATTTCAGAAAAAGATCTTGGTACGAATTTGAAACAATCCTGAACAGTATCCTTTATTTTTATTTAAGAAAAATATCTTGAAAAGAACTTTAACTAATCCTGAACAAGATTCTATATTTTTTTTGAGAAGGATCTTGGCAGGAACTTTAACCAATCCTGAATAGGATCTTTTATTTTTATTTAAGAAAAAGATCTTGACAGGAATTTGAACCAATCCTGAACAAGATTCTGTATTTTATTTGAGTAAAAGATCTTGACAGGAACTTTAACCAATCCTGGACAGGATCTTGTTTTACTTTAAGATATCCTTGAAACAGGAATTTTCAGGATTTGAGACAAGATCCTGAATAAAACTTGTTAAGATCCTTGGGAGTCAGGATCCTGCAAGATTCTTCATGTTTTCCCAAGGAATGAACACGATTGAGACTAGGGATTTGAAAGATAATAAAAAACCTTATCTAAGCATCAAGGCTCCGACGTTTGGCACTAAACCTGCGATAAAACTGTATGATATACTTGACAGAAATGTCTGATAAAGACTTTCTCATATCTAAGAAAAAACAATGAACTTACTTTTTTTGAAAAATGATAGTATAGATCGTTTTGATTTTACACTTGCGGACGAACTGTAGTCTCCTTCTTTCTGTGGATTTAGCGTATATGATGGTGGTTTCATTGGAGGTAAAGCATGTTTTAGCTCGCTGAGATCGAAAGGATCTGCAAGCATTTTATGCGGTGGCTCGATTTCTTGAAGATGGATAATGTGTAGACCAGTGGCTGGATTTAAACTGCCAACTACTTTAAGATATATACCTGGTGGTAAGAGTATTTCATCTTCATTGTCAAAATATGAATGTGCACGAATGAGCTTTCCACTATGAGTTTGAATAGAGAATATTGTTCGTGTGCCTGATTTTCCTAAATAATCCGGAGATTCGAGGACATCAATCGCAGCACTGCAAGAACTAAATGCCCACCAAGCAAATTCTTTACCCTTTGGATAAAGCGCACTAAGATCTTCACGAACACCACGCCAAACTAACGTGTCTTTCCTTGGTCTAAAATATAGAAAGAAATTACGACGTTTGATAACACATATTATTACGTACGGCAATTTCGAAAATGCTGTTAAGAATAATTTTAAATATTTAAACCAAGGCGTTAATTTCGAACGATCAACCAAGCGAAGTGTTTGATTAAGCTTCATATATAAACTATTATCATGTTTTGCCCATTCCATAGTATAAAGATGAATAGAAGCTGACTCATCTTGCGTGAGTCTATCTTCGGGATCCAAGGAATTCATTTTTGCAACGGTTATATATTCCTTCAGTTGGTAATCGAGTAAGTCTTTTATTGGTTCACATGCATCTTCGAGAGATTTAACAGTTACTTTTTCATACCCAGATATTGGCACGAGCATCCTCTTGGGTTCATCCCGAATGCTTTCCAGAAGACGATAATTAATAGCAATGGCGGTAGCCATACGTGTATTTGTTCGTTTGATCTAAACTTCAACGAAATTTGAATATTGTGTTATACTATGCAACGAAGATGTTTTAAAAGGTAACCCTCTAAGCATGTAAAAGATGAAATTGCGTTAATATCTTAAAAAGCGTTACTTTTTTTTCTTCTATGTTTTTGCAAATAGCACATCATTTACAAGTAGAGGTGTTATTTTATCTTTATTTTAAAAAGAAAGACAAAGAATAAAATCTTTATATTTATTTTATAAAGATAAACTGAATCGTTATCTGCATAAAATAAATATAAAGTTTTTCTCCGTAAATGAAAGAATAAAATGCTAATAGCATCTAAAAAATGAGAGTGAATGTGTTTGGTCTCTTTCACCCACACCCACATATATTTGTATTAGCATTTAACCAAAATACACCGTTATTTTAGAGACGAGCTTGTGTGTAGGTTTCACAAAAAACTTTTCATTCATACCCACCCACACCCTTCAAGACTAGTCAGTGAATCAACTATTCCATTAAAGTAGAATAAGTTTTGATTCGAACAGAAAGTTTATGTTTAACTACATAGTATATTTATTTTAATTTCCAGATCAATCCACATAGATATTCAATTTTTATTGTATTAATTTATAAAAAATTTCTATAACAAAATCTTTTCAAATTCGAAAATAAGTATGCGTTTATTTGTACATTATCTTCTCTTAATCAAAACCTATATACAACAAAGAGGTAAAGCACATGATAACATAACAAATAGATACAATAAAATTTCCATTATATCAAACTTGTTTTATTCAGTTAAATACTTATTACTTGAATATCTCAAGTGGTAAAATAAACAGGTGCAGTTCCGCGAAAAAATCCGATGAAACAACCGAGAAAGAAGGCTAACAAAAGCATCGATGAAATTCCCATCACAATAAATCTTCTTTTTAGAGGATCGTTAAGTTTGTAAACATTCCGATATAAATTCGGGCATATCAATAAACCACTGAGAATTCCTACTACTAGGCCTCCAATGTGTGCCACATAGTCAATTATTGGAATAAAAAAGCCCACTATCAACATGACAATAGGTAAACCTCCCTTGGTGATCAGTTGAATCCAAGGTTTTGATAAGTTTCTCCAATTACGAATAGTGTCCATAATATAAACAGCAAAGATTCCATACACCGCTCCCGATGCTCCTGCGCTAACTGAAAAAGTAAAAAATCATTGATTTGTACACGATACTTTGCTAAGACACAAAGATCATTAGTAGAAATAAATTGTAGAAGAAAGATACAATGCGACTACGCTCTTTTCATTTACTTACCAGTTCGTGGAAGTCCAATTGCACTGAGTAAAGTACCACCAATACCTGATAGAATATATATAATAGCGATACGAATCGAACCAAACTTTCGCTCTAATGGTATCCCAATATATAGTTGACTCATTAAGTTTGTTAATAGATGAATTATACCAGCATGCAGAAACATAGGTATAATAAATCGATAAACTTGATAAGGAAAACCTTTTAGATTTTCGACATTGCACGCATACCAAAGATATTCTTCATACGTACAAGTTTCATTAGTAAATGATGGTATTGACGGGCATGTGGTTTGATAGTGTAAAAAATCTTCTTGTGTTGATTTCATACAAGGAACAAACTTAGCTCCATTACGAATAAGCGTCATAATCGAAGGTCCAGCCATTGGATTTTCAGACATTGAAACTAAGCCTTTATTATAAACAATGGTGTATATAAGTAATGCTATGTCGACAACACTAATAAAAATCATAAAAAATGGCAAATATTTGCTAGATACGTGTTGATTGTCAGCAACAAATATTTTTCTAAAACACGCCATCTTTAGCCAACAATTGAGTTTGATTTTTTATGCTGAAAATAAAAGACTGAATGATATACCATCCGTTTATATAAGATTATCCATGATATTAGTAATCCATGCCCCGTATATTGAAAAAGTTTCTTTATTATTTGTTCACTATCTATAGTAATAAAAAGTTGTTTTTTTCATGCTGTACTTTTATATAGATATAAGACAATAAATTTTAAGTGATTCATTTTAGATTTAGCCAGTTAGATTTACATGAAGCAACAAATATGCTTCTGTATTCAATGCATAGAATGTTTCTCTTGACGGAAAGACTAGTACAATTTACTCATTTCAATTTTTACTTTTCATCAATCGATTTTTTATCGAAATTACTTTGTGTGAATAATAAGTAATAAAAATTTAAAAGTCATAAAAGTGCTGATGACTAAACTAATATATGAAAAATTTCAGCTAAATTCTATTTTATTCGATCTATTATATCTGACATATATCGTCATTTGATTAACTAATTCATTCAACAACAACAACAACAAAAAAGTAGTAATAATCAAAGTATGGTACAAAGACGACTTTTTTTTCTGTCTTTTTTCTGATAATTGTCTTCGTTGATATTCTTAAGTTCAGTAGTCGAAGTATAAAGATTTTGTGGTTGATTAAATAAACTTTGTAATTCACTTCGTAATGAAACATATTCTGTAATTGGAACAGTTGTACCTGTACGTTGAAGAAGTTCATCATTTAAACTATGATACATTGATGCTGGTTCAATTGCTAGAATTTCAGCAAGATGTGCAAGACCTGAACCATTGAGACGCATAACTAATGGTTTTAATGTTTCAAAACTATCTTGTGTTGATTTACACCATTCATTTACATCCTCTGATGACCAATTATGTACAGGACAGATCATATAATTAAGTGTTTGGTTTTTTATTTCATTATGAGGATGGCTAACATTTATCAAATCACTTGTTTGACTTAGTATACATGTATCATTATCTTCAATTTGATTTAAATAACGTTGAATTTCTTTAAAAATCGATTGCATATCAACAGTAACTATCGATTCAAGCCAATTTCCTTCAATTTCACATTCATGTTCAATTGGAATTGTTAATATTGGAATAGAATATGGTTGAAATGATATATAATGATAAACAAAATGAACTAAATTATCAATTTTCATTTGTGTACTTATACAAAATAGACAAAGTGATGATTGTGCAATAAGATGAATTAATGAATCAAGTGATTGACATGTTGATGTTAATATAAGTTCAACTGAATATTCAAATTCAATTTGAAGACGATCACGTAGTACTATACATAATTCTTGATAAGATTCATCTGAATAAAATATACATATTAAATTATTATTTATATTTAATGATGAATGATGATTGGATATTGTATGATCTAAAATAATATGAATGTATACAGTTTAATCTAAAGAATAGCTCTTACTTAAACTTTTATTTGTTGAATCTAATGTTAAAAGAATAGCTTGTGATGCAAGACAAATATTTCTTGTTGATGTGTTTAAATTTGTTCGTAACCATCGACATAAATCAAGACGTTTTTGTAAAATATCATGAATATTTGTTGATGTACTAAATGAAACTGTCCATAAAACTTCAATTAAAATATCGATTAATGTTGATAAATTTTCATTATCTTGTATTAATGATAAAATTGTATCGACAATAATATTTATAAGATTAACTTTTTTTGTATAATTTATTAATTCATCAACAATCATTGTAAATGATAAAAAATGTGTACGTAATAAAATAAACCATTCAATAGCCATAAGATATATTTGATCTTTTGATGATGTCATTGGAGATTCATGTGATAATGTTGTTAATGATTGAAATATTTTTAATGTTCGTTGTGTTAATAAATATATAAATTTTTTACAAAATGATGTTTGATATAAATCACGTTGTTTTATTAATAATGATAATGGATACCAAAGATTACTATGTTGTTTAGTTGCTTGTAAAATATGTTGAATATAACCTAAACGACGTAAATGTTGTTTACCTGTTATTGATGTTGCAAGTGTAATAAGTAATGAAATAATCTCATCAATGACATCCGGTGTTAAACATAAATTTTCAAAATGTGGTACAAAATAAGCACAAAGATTTTCTTCTATTATTGAATCTCGATTTAATAATGCTAAACGATTAATAAGACGAATTAAACGAATAATTAATGGTGATATATCATCAGTTGAATTTTGTGGAATTTCACACCAAATATGAAGAATTCGACGTATTGATGGTAATAAATCTAATGTTGATATTGTTATTGATAATGTACAATAATCAAGACATGTAAATAAAAGAAATATAGTACGTATATGAATTTTTTCTTGTAGAAAATTTTGTCGAACAAATTTTGTTGATAGTTGAATAAATAATGGTGAATTAAGACAATCAAGAAGACATGATGTTAAACATTTATTTGCTATTGGATTATTTAATAAAATTGAATGACTAAATAAAATAACTAATGAATTAATACAACGAAAGAGAACATCAAGAACATCAGTTTGTTCAGCTTGATCATCGGATGTATTTGTTTGTAGATGAATATCGTCTGGAGATACATGATCTTCTTGTACCTGTGAAAAAAAAACATCTTAGACATATGAAGATGGTGTCAGTTTATAGAACTATTTTCGCGTGACAACTTTTGTTGATCCGACAGCGAATTTTTAATGAAAAAAAGAACTTATTCTAGTCTGGTAAGCATTTAATAACAACAAAATTCACTTAACCTTGAATGATTGACATCTCCACACTACTTTTCTTTGCCTTTAATCTTTATAATGCAGTGCATAGGAACTGTTTGAATAAAGTTTACGAAGTTTTTTTCTTTTTGTTATTAACTTTACTTTTTTCTTTCTTATTTACCTTTTATTCCATTACAAACATTCAAGATTATTTTGTTTTCTACACTATCGATAACAATAACAACAAACGCACTCAGTTTCTGACCTACTGAAACCTTACAACACCTTTATTTCTCGTGCTGTTACCTAGATAATAATTATATTTACCGATAAATGACTTGTTATAGAAATATATTCTTCATCATTTTCTTTGATTATTAATTGACAAATAACTTTACAGAGTGTATTGATAAAATCTTCATCAACAAATAAATTTGTTATAACATGTCGGATTATTTCTTGATTATCATTATCAAGAGATATATCATCCTGTTGATTTAACCATTCAGATAAAAGTTTAAATAATTGATGTGTATAAAATAATGCTCGATATTCATCACCATTCATTGTACCATTAATTAACCATAATTGTAATAAACGTTCAGACCATTGTCGAATAACAAGAAATAATGGATGATTAATAATATCAATATC